AAGCTGAGAACTGGCGACTTTGTAGTACAACTGTAGTACGCGGAGTAGCTGGGGAGCTGGAAGATGAGAACTGGCGACTTGGTTGCGCAACTTTAGTAGTGGAGTAGCTGGGGAGTGGGAAGATGAGAACTGGTGACTTGGTAGTGCAACTTGAGCAGCGGAGTAACTGGGGAGCTGGCGACTATGTAGTGCAACCTTAGTACGCTTCATTCCAGCTTGCTTTTTTCAATGAGCTTTTCTGTCACCTGTCACCGCTTGGCCGCCGGTGGGGGTTTGGGAGGCCTGCGCGGTAATTCGTTCACTATATTATCAGTGAAGACCTTCACCAGCAGCAGACATGGACATACACACACAGAGAGGGAATCATACACACACACACATCACACACAGAGGCCCATGCACTGCCTCAACTTACTCGGACACACGCGCAGACAGAGACTCATATACACACGGACATAGACACTTCGACATTGGTTTTCAGTTAACTCAATTGCCAGGTCGAAGGAAGGTGGTAGAACCGAAAGGTGGAAAGTCCGAGGAGTTGAAGGTGTTTTAACAAATGTTTCTCGCAAGCTGCAGAACGAAACGGTCTCAAAAACGCGCGGCTCAGCTGCAAGTTTGGGGGTGGTAGCGTGAAGGACCATGGAAGCAAACCGATCAAATTGGACAGCTTGTTCAAAAGTTGTAGCAGGTACACAGGGATGATCAGTCCCCGCATCCTGGTCAGCTGCATAGAGCTTCGTTGGCGACAGCTATGCAGTGACCCTGTCGCTCCCTGCGGTTGTCTTCTGGTAGAAAGGACCCTTTGAAACAGGGGTTGACACACACAGAATGCCGCTGTCGGCGCAAGTGAAGCTCAGTGGAAGGACTTTTTCAAAAACCGTCTGCAGGCTGCAGAGTCATGCCACTTTTGGACATAAAGGTGTATCAGCTCTTCAGCCGCCGCTGTTGCGTGTTGTTGTGTATATGGCATGGAGTCTGGAAGCTAAGCCGGAGAGAGCCAAGCGCTGGCTAGCGGCGCTGGTGTGGTCCCTGATTTTCCAGGGTTGGGTGGGCTGAATGTAGGTGATGGTGCGTTGTGGGAGGTCGATGTTAAAGCCCAAGAGGTGGAAGTCGTCAACTGGTTCCAGTTCGACTGGGTCACCAAAGAAGTTGTGGTGGATCAATGTTTGGATGGCGGGGTGGGACAGGAAGTGTTCGTTGTGGACAATGAAACGGTTGTCCACGTATCGGTAGTAGGTGAAGTGGAGTGCTGTGT